CTCAGCTTTCATCTGTCCATCTCTACTCATAAAAGATACCACCAGGGAGCACAACCCTAGGGAGGGTGAAAGCTTTCATCTGTTAAGGCTCAACTTTACAGATAAACACTGAGGAGCATAGTCAAAATGATAAATTGGTGAGGACGACAGGTGACAGAGTGGACATAAGCCACATGGACACAACCTAACCTGTCTAGCTCACCTCTTTAAACCCCTGGGGTCGACAGTTCCACCAGCGGAACTTTTTGCAGATTTGAACGATGACAGCGAAAAGAACTAAAATGCTCCTTCATACTTGACCGTACATATAAGAGCAATACAGCATTTAAATCTGTAAAGGGTCTACTTTTATTTGTGTACACTCACAATATCAACAAAACATTGTGCTTTTGCAAAATTTAAAGAAACCTGCCAGGGAGCATAGCCCTGCATAAACACCCAGTTGATGAACTGGGGAGGGCGACATATTTTATCTATCAAGCTCCACTTTACAGATATCCACAAAAGAGCAGTGCTTTAATACCCAGTGTAACAGAGTGGGAGGCTGACAGATGGGAGAGAAAGACTAATCCACCAAAGTTCTCATACCTCCAGCTCAACTTATATGCTTAAGGGACCATAGTGCTACTTCCTTAAAGCTCTGATAATAATAAATCCGGATAGGGCAATAAAAGAGTGAGTGGGTCCTAACCAAGCTCAGTTTTCATTGATGCTCCCCCAGGGGAGAGTCAGGGAAGTCCACATATACTATGGCTATTAAGTTGGAGGCAATAAATTAATATAAACATACATTAGTCCACTCCTGCTGCCATCCTACTATGTTGGGAGAGCAACAGATGACAGTGGAGAGTAAAATTACAAGCCAACCTCTGTCACTACTGCCAACAGACCTATAACCTAATGCCCGGTTCAGACTACACGATTTTAGCCCGATTTTGCCACGATTTGCTTGACGTAGGGTGTCATGGGGATTTGTAAAGGACAATGGGCGTCGGGACGCAAGATTCCATCGTTTCAGC